ACGCACCTTCGCCCAATTCGATGGCACTTGATTTTGGTGTATCAAATAATGCAGAACCCTGATCACCCATGTTGTGCAGTGTTCGCCTTGTCGCTTAACACACATCAGGGGGCACTCATTAAAATTAGCGCTCTAAAAGTGTCTGCTGGAATGCCGACGTAATTCATTTTCACTCAGATTGTGCAATATTTGTAATTCTCTACAACCTCACGTTGTTTCCGCACCAAAAATTTGTTTCTTTCAAGTACAATTTGGATGAAACGTTGTCAAGCCTCAAATTTTGACATCTGTAGGAGTGCACGAAATAAAGAAAGTTCGTGACATTCCTCATCTTTCCATGAACCGTAGATCGTTCTGTTTGTGCGAAAAACCGCATGGGAGAAAAAAAGCCTCCGTTTGAAAGTATTTCTCTCAATAAAAATTTCACTTTTAATTTCATTCCCCTCTTTCTGAACTCAAATCATCATACCATAGGCACTGACACATATTTCCTCCCACGCGTAGTTGGTAACAGCCACCTCACTCCAGTCCACATTCGTCTCGTTCCGAATTCCTAACATGATGCATTGTGTCATGCAGCTGGGCTGGTATTTTCCTGATCTATTGCAGAAACAGCTAGGTTCACTCCGTTGCGCACAGAATTAGTCATGCGTGTCGGATACAATGGATTTAGGTAACAATGCAGAAAGAAGCGTCGCAGTGTCCCTGCTTTTTATTGCTTCAACTAGATAACATCAACTAGTTGAGTCGTACGCACTTAGTTTTAAAATAACATGATAAAAATGAATAAACAATAGTTGGCATATTTTGCCATCTGAAAACCGAGCATTCTGATGAGCAGTTTGCTTGATATTAACTCTCGCAATTTAATAGTTTATACATGAGTAGAAATGTGTATTGTCAAATCGTCTACGTGGCATAGACAATGTTTTGTTTGAATTAATCAACGGAGAAGCGCTGTTGGGTTAGCTCTCAATCTAGTGAAAAGGATGTACACACACACACATGTGAACAATAGTTTTTGTACTGCATTTGTGGAATTGATATGCTATTTGTTTCTGATCAATAATCTCAAGCAAATGGTCAAATGATCTTTAAAGGCTGTCTAACACTTCAACTGTTCCATGGCAATGTATGGCAAAATATGGACTTTTTCAGACATTAATTTGAATAAACAATGGTCACGTAATTATTCATGCACCTGGTAGCTTTTGCATGCGCATGTGTCTCTGCTTGTGTGTGTACACTTAGAAGCACTCGGTTGACCGTTTGCCAACTGAACAGACTCGTATGAGACACTGATTCAGTGGCAACACATTCCACTCTCTAAAACAGGACATACAGTGAACTGCAGTAAAATGTGCGTATGAACGCTATTCCATCCGATGTGCAACACTTTTTATTAGAAAAGAAATTCCATGTGTGTGTTTGTGTGTCGGTGTCGTGCTGTCTCCTTGCCTGCATGTAAGCAAAACCCAGGAACAGGCCGACCTAGATCATTAAACTCATATTTGAACAGACTAGTCAGAGGAGAAATGCTTTGAGGGCAATCACTTTTGTGAACCATCATCGGTATGAAGACAGACTACACGAAAGAATTGTTTGTTTTTCGTGTCCCCGGAATAAACTCCGACTAACGATATTTGACGCATTATCGATCTCTCAAAACACCCTCTGGGTGCATCCAGAAGAGCATGACCTCTACCGAGTGACCTATCTTGGCTGTAACCAATGAAGGGCAACCACATGCACACACAATGAAACTTAATTAGATTTACAAAATAGTTTTATATTTTCCAATCCTATTTAAGGTCATACATTAGCCACCGATGAGAAAACACGAAAGCGGTTTCTGTCGCAGTGTTTGCCTTTTGACACGCCTCTTCAAATTCATCACAGGATCTAAGGGTTTTGAATCCTTGATTACTCAGTGATACTGAATAATTATAATCAAGTGCAAAAGTTGAAGTACTTCGGATTCGGCCAGTCGTGACAAACCTCATAACAAGTCCCTTTGCTCGTGCTCAATCAAGCAAGGACCGGATAAACCACAAGAATTGTGTGTGGCACAGACTTATGTTGCAGGCAAAGAAGACGTGATGTAATATGTTCCCTGAGAGCCTCCTTTCCCTTACTCGAAAGTTAATAACAATCAATATTTTCGTTCATAAAAGCCTGCACTCATTATATGATTTATTGAATTTTGAGAACGGCTTTGAAACTACGATTATCTTTGCCGAGAAGTGCTATTCACTGAAATTAGTGCGTTTCGCAATGACGAAACTAGTTTCACTCCAACCTGTTACAGTCTTAGTGTTGTTTCACTTGGAAAAATCGTAGTTCAGCCGACAGAAAATAGCTGGGTGAAATTTTCAGAAAATGTCTCAAATAAGAAGTTGATTCTTTGTTACTGGTGTAATTTCAGGCGACTAAATGTTAACAAAAATTAATGAGCACGTTGTTACAATCTATGGATCCGTCTTGAAAACGGTGTGCTCAAAACATAAGGCTGCAACAAGGTTTGGGACCTTTTATAGTCTTTAATCATTATCATGAATGGGATAGCAGAAGTCTCTCCGACATCACCTTTACTCTTCTGTGATTTAGCAATAAATCAGTTACTAAGTAAAGTGCTTGTAAACCACCGTAATTTCAATGTTAACCTACTTCCAGGTGATCGACCTTGTGAGCTGCAGTGAGTAGACGATATTGTCACTTAATTTGACTTCTGTCAAGAAACTTATAGTGTCACATACCAACCAGAAATAACCATCACACAGTTGGGAGCCACCCTCTGTCCCTCAAAGTATACGATCTCGAATTCTAGAACACTGGTTAAGACCATGCTCACTCACACTTATCATCACGAGTAACCAGTTAGAACCTGTCATTCTTGAAGTGTGCCTCAGTCCAGGAGGACTGCTAGAAGAAATATCTGCTTTTATCCGCGAAGTCTTAGTGGTGTTCATCATTCTATTTCCGTTTTGGCGTAAAAGTGATCTGATTCTTTGCTCAGAATTTGGAGTTTCCAAGTCCCACTTAGGTATGATATTACTTTACGTCTAGGATAGTTGGCATAATCGGGCTGACAAGGAACTGAGATTTATCGTCTGTTAACTTTATTGTCTCTGCTTCATTGCCAACATACGATGGTAGTCACCAAATGTGTGATTAGTCGAATAAAATGCCATTGGCCCTTTGAGTGCCACCAACTCACTGTACGTGGTTCAATGCTTTGGATGTGTACTGCTCAGGTCTTTCCAATGAGTGCTATATTATGCCATTTATTTGTACAAGCATTGATTCAAAAGAATTACGATTTCAGTAAGTCCTGGACTTCGGGATAGAGACTCAGGAATGAAAAATATCTATGACCAGCAGACTGTTCAAAATGGGCGTGAGATTCTGAGTTGTCTCTTCCCCTCACTTTCCCTATCTGCATTCGCCATCCTTTTTTGACAGTCCATATTAGTGGATTATCAAATTTTGTTATCTTAAGTGACCTTATCTCGTGACCAAACCGAATCACTTAGTTCGACTGCCCACCAACGTGCTTGGAGAACCAGTGTCAACTCTGATTTATATCTGTTTTTTATGGTTCTATATTTATATAGGTTGAAGCAGATAGCAATTATAGACAGAGCTCGCCTATGTTCAAGGAGAGAAAAATGCTTGGGTATCATCCGATAGTTAAGCCTTCGGAGTTGAATTTCACTTCTTTCTAGATAATATGCTAATCCTCGCTTCAACTCTTAAGATATAATTATATATGACTTTGCAGGTCTACTTTATCCTGGAAATGTGATTTTACAGTTCCCACCAGTGAATCTGCAAATGTTTATGTTTTTATCTCGTTTTCTATTCAAAAGAAATAAACAGGCTGAAAACGCAAGTGAAATTGACAAGCTTGAAAAATTCTTCATCAAGTTTGTTCCTTTGTATTACACAGACTACAGGAGTCACAGACGGTAAAATCGGTTATAGTGGCTGGATCAGTGCAATTAAACAAAGATTGATCTTAAGTACGGTATACAAGGAGCCGTCTAATGCGCACAAAAACTTGACTTGTTTTTGGCTACACTTGTCAAACATCAATGATTCTGGACAGGGCAGTTGGTGTGAAAGCGTGTTGTGCAGTGTTTGTTTTGGAGCCCCAGTCCACCACTCATCGCCCGACAAACTGTTCACGCGTGGCATGGAGTGTTTGCTGTTCATAGTCCGTTTGTTTTCTTTATCGATTTCTTTCTCATAAAAGAAGGCGAAGGTTAAAAAGGAACAAGAATCAAATGCCCAGTATCATTAGATTATCTAGTAAATAAGTTACTACTCATGGTTTCTATAATCGCTCAATATAAACATTAAGTATAAAAGCTAGGCAATGCCAGTGGAATTGCACACAATATATAATAATGATACCTATTCAGTTCACAAGCGCATTGGTCCATTAATTTCTCTAATCTAAGACGTAACACTGAACTGCAATTTGCGTGGCTCATGGTTCACATACTTCTAAGCAATAATGTCACCTAGATGTAGAACTCAAATCTTTTTGGTCATCTGAAAACAACCAATAGAATTACAGGCCATGGAAATATTAGCCTTACACTATAACCTAACGTGGTAACGTCACCAAATTACCACCCCGGGAATGTGTTAGAGTCCCATCACCACTGCCTAACTTTCCCCATTGTATGTGTTGAATGGCAGCTCTTCGATTGGCCCCTTTCCTCTTCCTGAAAATGGTATCTTTGCATATTCAATAAAAAGAAGTTAATTGGGCAAGATGAATAGATAACTGTGTTTGCCTTCGTACATACTTTACTCGCCTTGTCTTCGGATTTATTTGTGTTCCAGTGGGGCTGTTCACCCATGATCCCGTCGATGGTGAAATAGAACCACTGGAACCTGCTGTTCTATACACATGTCAGTTAGGTTAATTGAAGCCATAAAATAGTTTTCATCACTTCATCATAGCCCTCAGACGGTAAAATGAGTTTGGGCTAAATTTGTACAGTATCGAAAGTGGTGGTGATGGTGGTGCTAGTAGTAGTAGTCGTAGTCGTAGTCGTAGTAGTAGTAGTAATAGTAGTAGTAGTAGTAGTAGTAGTAGTAGTAGTAGTGAAACATATCAGACGCAAGCACTAAAACGTTATTTTATAGAATTACAAACTAAACGAATGAAAAACAATTCAAGTGAACAACTTTTGCCGAAAGATGTGGACACAGACGAATCTATTGATTGAACACAGAACGCGAGTTATTTTTGTAGGACTGCTTTCCCAAAACGATTCGATCCTGACGTTTTTGCGAAACCCTATCGGAGGCAAAAAATTGCTTATACAATTTCACACAGTTCATACTTCATAAAATTGCTCCACTCATGATACACAAGACCAGACTCTTGAGTGACTAAACGTTTGCTGTTCTGATAAAATCTGCATTTTAAAAAATTTTTGTTCAAAGTAATCGTTGGAATTTTGTGATATTTTAATTGTTCATTAAGTGAACACATTGCCACATAACTCTGCTCTGCACTCTCTTCGAAACTGTTCTTACCCTTGACGGGGTCAAAAATATGATCGACTTTGGAAAATCGGTTTACGTCTCAGTTAGACAAGTTTTTCGTTTTCAAGATCCATCTAACGTATTTAATCAATCACCCACTGAATTCTGTGATTCTGCCATTATCAACACTTTCAGTAACTGTATTCACGGACTTTTCATTATTAACCGGGGCCTAAAATTCTGAGATGATAGCTGCATCTGGAGATTCTCAAATCATTCTAATAGATGGCCAATAAGAGTGGTATTTTCAGGTTTCGAATGCCTTGATTTGCGGATATTCTGAAAATATCTGATTATTCATTCAATTTTTTTGGCTGTGATGCATGCTGACCACGACAATTTTCATACATTCCTGCAGATCTCAAAGCAATGCTTTTACTTTAACATTTACGTCACAAAAAGAGCGGGTTTATGAGGCCAAAGGCCACTAATGAATCAGAGTCCTCTCTGCAACCGAAAAGAAATAAAACCAACCGGTGACCTGTTTTGTTAAATGTTTAGAACCCGGAATAAGTTAGAAACATTTATGCGGTATGAGACAGCTTGTGTAAGGTCTGTGCAACTTGTGGTCAGAGTATGGAAACAAAACAAAGGTCACTTCTGAGCACGAATATATATATATATATATGTATATATATGCCTCCAAGAACGATGGAATCGGGAACAGGCCAATGATGTGATGCAGTGTGTGCTTTTGTACGCACACGGACTTGCTCAAACAAGATCAGCGAATGTGACGATGCGCGCGCACAGATTCCCCAGCTTTCACTATTCTAAAAAACTGCAACAGAGAACGATTTTCTTCCGGAATTATTTCGCGGCATCTAAGCTGTTGCTTATTGCGGAAAAGAAAAAAATTTCATATGTTAAAGGTAATGAAAATTTTGCAGTTGACGGATGTTCACGTAGCTATCGGAAAAAACCGAATTCGCGCAATTGCATGAAGGCCTTATTTGAAACCATAATAATATAAACTTGATCAACCCGTGTGAGAAAATTCCACCGGCCCTCATCAAATCATACCGACGGTATTCGATTCGTGCCATTGAAAGAATGTGCAAAAGGCACAAACCAACCCCAAATAAACGCTCTGTTAAATTATATTCAATAGGTTGCAACTCATTTGCGAGGAACGTAATTGAAGAAAACAGTTCCAAGAAAATGTTTTAGACATCGTACAATAAGCTCGTAAAGTGTAATGAAGGAGCCATATTGGATGACACCTCCATTGGTACATTATAAACCTTTTGTATTCAATAAATAAGCAAATCTGTGAGATTATTTTTTGGGCGTATACAGGGTTGCTTTCTTTCGTGTTCAGAAAGATGAGTGTTTATATAATCCCATATTTGACTGCAATTTGACCTTGACTGTGGAGGGTTCTCTCCTCGCTTTAAGAAATATGTTCCAAATTATTTGTCGGCACTTATCTTACCTGGTTTGGATTATTTAAACAGGCTATATATTGGTTTCTGATGAAAAAGGGTGCTCACTATAGTGAAACTTAAGCTGAGTGCACTCACGTATCTAAACGCGATGAACATTTGATTTAGTCAAGTCTAGTCAAGTCAGAAATCGCTTTATACACCTCGAGAGGTGGATAATCAGCAACCACATATCCACAGCGTGTCAACAAAAGTGAAAAAAAGCATTATAGTACAACAATTAAAAGACGTGAAAACGGACAGCAACATCAGATACTAATGGCTTACCAGAGTGTTTATTATTGATTTAGTTTAGCATTTTGAGCAGATTTCCTGCAACGAATTCATGGTTTGTTAGAAATCTGACATGATGCGGGACAATAGATCGCCTGTAAGCTTCAATGCGTGTCTTTATAAGTTTGTGAGTGGAACGGGTGGATGAGTGAGAAAGGCACTGACTAAGGGCAGAATAATGAGGATGGGAAACAGCAGATAAAATCTTGTTGGAGAATGTTCTACAGGACTTGATGTGATGCGTCACCAAATACTGTACCAGATGTTCCCGTGATATGAGACTACAAGCCGACAGAAATTTGAGGGATTGGGAAATGAGTTTGAGGTCTTTGGTAAAAAGACCAAGGAAGATAACAGGGGACCCATAAAGCCAGTGAGGCAAAATGCATGCAAAAACAAAACGCCTTATGAGATGATTTGGAATGGAAAGTGATTTAAGACTTAAAACATAAAACATGAGCCTCCTGACCTTCCGAAAAACGTGAATAACGCGATCAGACCAGGTGAGGTTACGGTTGAAAATAACGCCAAGGTATTCGACAGACGTTTGTCATTCTATCTGGTCACTGAGGATAGAAAACGACGGGCTGGCGTTTGATAATTCATCGTACTTTAGGTTTTTCAAAAAGGGAAACTTTGTCATTACATTTTTGGGGGTTCGTGCGGAGGTTCCTTTGTTGAGACCACTCGACCATTTCCTATACATATTCTTGTAGAGTGGTTTGAACTGATGAGTTGGGGTAGGGCAGCCCGAATATTATGTCTTCTGCATTCTTAACGAGAAGAGGAGAATTGCTCGCAGACACAGAGGAAATGTAAGCAGAAACTAGAAAACTGAATAAAGTAGCGTCTTGTATTACGCCTTTTGAGGAGGGCAGCGGTGAAGATGTACGACGTTTGTAGCGTGTGAACTGCTGACGGTTGGAGAAATAGTTGACCAGGAGTTCAATCGTAGAAGGCTGAACTCCGCCCTAAGAGAGGGTGTTTAACAAATTTTGTCGATCAATTGCGTTAAAAGCATCCTTCTAGTCAAGAAAACATATGCTTGCAGCCTTGCTTTTCTTATCCGGGTTGGATAAAACAAAGTTGGACAGATAATCAAGGTCATCCAGGCTACTGCGGGAATGGGTGTGAGCAAACTGTTTCGGGTCACCAACATTGATTTGTGTGGATAGGGTTTTAAGGAGGAGCTTTTCAAACACCTTTAAGACCACTGAGGTGCAGGCAATGGGACGGAATTTTGAGGATCATTTCTCAGTATAAGGGAAAGGAAGGCAGCACATTTTTTCAGGCCAGCGAG